GTGTATGAAAAGGCCCAAAGTGTGTGTGGAATAGAGATAGTTACAATAGTATTTTTCATATAATCTTATGAAATGTTGTCCTGTAAGTAGTGAAATTAATTTTCTAACCATATTATAAAATATAAATTAGAAAATAGGATGTATAAAGTATGTGTACACATAAAAGTACATCGCCTTTCAAACGAATATTTTTATCCATTTCTCAGTGGATATGTATTTTGATTATCTTTAGGAACAAAAAGATAATACATTTCATACATGTCTTTTATGATTTTCTTGATTTTTGTCCTGCTTATTAACATTTTATTTTATATTTTTCCTAAATATTTTATGTATGCACTTTTATCTTAATTTATTTTGTTGAATAGTTTGGTATTGACTAATCTAATATATATTCCCAAATATCTTATTGTATAGCATCCTATAGAAAGCATTAATCTAAAATAGATATTTATATAGAGAGTGCTCTATTATGTTGGCTACTGTATATACAGTTCTAAGCAGAAGTTTACATACACTGTATAAAAAGGCACATAACCATTTAAAAAAAGTCAGATGTTAATGTGACTAAACTTTTTCTCTTTTAGGTAAATTAGGATTATCAAATTTGTTTCTGTTATGCTTAATGGCAGAATAATGAGAGAGAGATTTATAATTTGTTATAACTTTTCTTGAAAGTCAATTTTACATACAATAAGATTATTATGCCTCTGAAAAAGCTCAGATTATGGTGTCAAGGTTTTGGAAGTTTCTGATTGGCTAATTGACAACATAGAAGTTAATTGGAGGCACAACTGTAGAATAGTATTTAGGGAAACCTCAAACACACTACTTCTTTTTGTGACAACATGGGAAAACCAACAAGCCAGAGTCAACAAAAAAAGCCAGATTAGAATTTGATAAATTACTCTAGTAAAACGACTTTTGGAGACATGGCCTGTGGTTTGATGGAACTAAGATTGAACTGTTTGGCCATAATGACCAGTGTTACATTTTAAGCACAAAGGGGAAAAGCTTACAAGCATAGGAACACCATCCCAATCGTGAAGTATGGGGGTGGCAGGATCATGTTGTGGGGCTGTTTTGTTGCAGGAGGGACTGGTCCACTTCACAGCGTAGATGGCATCATGAAGAAAGAACATTATGTAGAAATACTAAAACAACATCTCAAGACATCAGCCAGGAAATTAAAACTTGGCCACAAGTGGGTCTTCTAAACAAACTATGACCTTAAGCATACCGGCAAATTAGTTAAAATGTGTTTTAAGGACAACAGAGTAAATGTTTTGAAGTGGCCATCACAAAGTCCTGATCTCAATCTTTTAGAAACTTTGTGGGCAGAGTTGAAAAAGCTTGTGTGAGCAAGACAGCCAGCAAATCTGACTCAGTTACACCAAATCTGTCTGGAGGAATGGGCCAAAATTCCTTCAAACTATTGTGAGAAGCTTGTGGAAGGATACTCAAAACATTTGACCAAAGTTATACAGTTTAAAAGCAAAGCTAAAAAATACCAAGGAAATGTATGTAAACTTTTGAATGTCTAGAAATTAATAAATTCTCAAAAACATTTTTCTCATTATTCTGGCATTAAGCAAATGTAAATCATTTAGGTAATTTTAACGAACCTATAATAGTAAACATTTAGTATGATTTACCATCACACATTAAAAAAAAAGGTTATGTTCCTTTTTTTTTTGGAGTATATGTAAACTTCTGGTTTCAGCTATATTAGTAATACACATATCATCAACAGTTTGTTATATGGTAACAGCCTAAAGTTTATTAATATTTGAAGTTATAATTCATACACTTTACATTAGGATCAAATAAACAATGCATTCATTCATTCATTCATTCATTTTCTTGTCGGCTTAGTCCCTTCATTAATCTGCATTAAGCGGCCTTCCAGCCGCAACCCATCTCTGGGAAACATCCACAAACACTCATTCTCATACACTACGGACAATTTAGCCTACCCAGTTCACCTGTACCGCATGTCTTTGGACTGTGGGGGAAACCGGAGCACCCGGAGGAAACGCACGTGATTGCACGAAAACGAGGACATGCAAACTCCACACAGAAACACCAACTGAGCCAAGGATCAACCCAGGAACCTACTTGCTGTGAGGCAACAGCACTACTTACTGCGCTACTGCTTCGCCTGTAAATAATGCATATTAAAGCAAAATAATATAAAATGTGCAGGTGCATATATTGACATGAGGAAAATATTTTTTCATAGTTGAATCATTTTCTTTCATTTTTAAATAAATGAAACCAACTTTAACTACACATATTCTATGGGATTCTTTTATCTAATCTAGGTGCAGTAAGTGTACGTGTGCCTTCCACTATAAAGACAGCAGTGCAGTTGTGTGGAGCGTCAGTTAGCATTAGCTCTGATTTGGCTTGTGAAGAGATTGAACGTGTATCAGCTGATGGCAAGACAACAGTCACAGGTGAGTCTTCAGACTCTATTTCATTGAGTTTTGTCTAGATCTTATCCTGAAAACTAAAATTGTGACTGTTTAAACTGCAGTGTTCTAATATATTCTGTGTTTAAACCATTCTGTGTGTTCTGTTTAGCTCATTTGAATGCCAGCACATCTGAAGAACGGTGGATAAAAGCCACTGCTGAAAAAGCTGTTGTAAACCTGAAAACCCAGAGCTGGTTTGAAACCCTCAGACTCGGAGCTCAGAGTTAAAACTTGCACAGAAGCTTCCGGTACCAAATACTGACTTTATCCAACAGGACACTTCAAATACAGTATAGCTATGGTGAGATACAGTAGTGTCTTGAAACACGAGTAAGTGAAAATGACAAATTTGACATTGACATAACATGTCTGTATAGAGTATTATGCAAAAACAATATGTATAATGCAAAAATACAGGTTTCTTTAAGGTCACATCAATTTAATTAGAATAAACATGAATTTTATAATTATATAAAATATTAAAATAAAAATGCATTTTTGTTGTACAGTTTGTTTGTTTTTTTTACTTCATAATAAGTATGAAGTATTCATAATAAGAAATAAGTAAATAAATATACATTTTATTGTTTGACATGATATGTTTTATGTTAGAATAAAGCAGCCCTACAAAAATGAATTCATTTCTAGAGGCAAATAAAGTTTTTTTTAGAACTTATTTGGTAAAAAAAATAAATGTATTGTTATAAAGAATTTTATAGTTAATACCCCTCAAAAGGCTGAAATCACATAGCAAAGAATCAAAACTACATAACAAACACCATTCAACCCCTGACCGTATCTCAGGTTTTTTGAGAGTAAATGACATAAATTCAGTGTTGGCCATTGTTTTATCATTCAGGTTGAGCCATGTGACATTTTTTGTCACTCACCTTTATATTGAATGTTATAACAACCTTTTATATATAAGACAGCAACATCTTATTTAACGTTGGTGAAGAAGTAACATATTGTGTTCAAACAGATATGAAATGCCTTCACATTATTTAATATAAAATACAAAATAATAATAATGATAATAATAATTCCTTACATTTCTATAGCACTTTTCTAGACACTAACAGCACTTTACACATTGGGGTGAAATCTCATGCACCACCAATGTGTAGTATCCACCTGGATGACGCCACGGCAGCAATATTGCGCCAGACTGCACACCTCACACCAGCTGATTGGTGAAGAGGAGACAAATTATTATATGGGGATGGTTAGGTGGCCATAATAGACAGAGGCAAATTTGTTAAATCCCTAATCTTTTTCAAAGGACGTCCTGGGATTTTTAATGACCACAATTAACGTCTCATCCGAAAGACGGCGCTCACTGAGCAGTATAGAGTCCCATTCACTATACTAGGGCGTTAGGACCCACACAGACCACAGGTTGAGTGTCCCCTGCTAGCCTCGCTAACACCACTTCCGGCAGGAACCTAGCTTTCCCTTGTAGTCTCCCGTCCAGACACTGACCAGACGCAGCCCTGCTTAGCTTCAGTTTAGCTTTCATGTGAGAGTTGCAGAGTCGGCTAATATAGTCCTAAAACTAACCAGAGTCTAGTGTGAGGAGAGAAAAACACCTTTCCTGATCCAGACAACTCAAACTACAGTATAAGGATCATCACTGTCATAATTCAAGAAATTCATGCCATTGCTTTCATTAAGCAGTGTAGTTTTTGGCCAGAATGATGATAGGCTTTTTATAAAATGTTAAATTATGTTTTACGTTGACATGTTATGTTTTTACAAATGCATATGCTTAAGACATCAGCATCTCAGTGCTGGGGGGTTAATGAACATTACATTGAACAACAAAGAATAAATTGCCGTTCAGTTAAAAAAAAAAAGTGTTTAAACATTTTTGGTGCACTGAAAAAAAATTATTCATTGAGTTTACAATTTTTAAGGTAAGTAGTTGCAATCAATTTACATGGGCTGAATTTAAACAAACAAATGAAATGTACAAATGTTCAACTTAATTTTTTGTTTAAACTCAGCCCATTTAAATTGATTGTGACCACTTACTTTAAAAAATATACAGTAAATATAATGAATAATTTTTGTTCAGTATGTAGTCTTACTCTCTTTACTGGCTCCCTGTTAAATTCAGAATTGATTTTAAACTACTGTTGATTACTTTAATGGTCTTGCACTCTCTTATTTTTGTGGCATGTTAAAGGTCAATAAATATCATCAATAATGTGGCACTGTTTAAAGCTAAATTTAAAACCTAATTATTTAGACTTGCTTTTGATAGAAGTGCAAAATGATGTTTTATTGACACTCTTGTTTAGATTGTGCTCTTACCACCTTATGTGTTTTATTGTGTCATTTTTTTTAACACTGTAAAGCACTTTGGTCAGCCTTCTGGTTGCAATCAGATGTTATATAAATAAAGTTGATTGATCTTTTGGGGGGGCAGCACAGTAGGTAGTGCTGTTGCCTCACAGCCAGAAGCTGGCTGGGTCGCTGGTTCAAACTTTGTCTCAGTTGGCATTTCTGTGTGGAGTTTGCATGTTCTCCCTGCACTCACGTGGGTTTCCTCTGGGTGCTCCGGTTTCCCCCACGGTCCAGACATGCTGTGAAGTTGAAGCACATTAACCTAAAGACAAACAAAAACAAGTTAAGCAAATAAGACAGAGAGACTGAGTAAAGTAAGTTAAAATTGAGTAGCAGTCTCTGTTGTTTACCATGTTACTTTGAATATCCAATCGGAATTATGCAAGTATGACTTCAAAACAACATTAACCCTATCTAATTCACTGTAAACAATGTTGTACTTTGATAGTCATTTACTGCTTATATCATTTCCCTATATAGAATTTACAAAGAATACTTTTCTGAAATTATATTATTAAGGAGAATGTCTGAATATAAAACCAACTTTACCTCTGTTTTATTGAGAATATCTACACAAAACGCAGACACACATTAGTCAAAGAGGCGTGTGTTGCTGTATACTGTATGTTTAGGCAAGAGAGGCGTGGAATCTTACTGCGAAGAGAACATCTTTGGTCAAAGTGGACAAAACCAGGCAGGTTTACACCAACAGTGGCTGTAATCCATTGTTTAATCTCTGAGAACCGGACGAAGACATCAGGAATATTGGGGTTTTTACATATTTAACCATAGCTGACAACGCTGAACCCACACTGAACACTGCTTTGCATAACTTATAAAACAACACTCTGTGAAAGTAGTGCAGGTTTGTGTGATTTTATGTTATCACATCTCAACCTTATTAAAAAATAAATAGAGCTACACAAATTATGTACGTAAACATGCATTTGTCCAGCAAGTGTGCTTTTGGGGAGGATGGGCATCAACATGTTATTTTTATAGATGTGTACTTTGGCTGACAGAGAAGCATGAGTTCAGAGGGTTGAAAGTGATAAATCCTGGAAGGTTCTGGTTGATGGAGCTCATGATCCAGTTCTGATACTGTGATACGCGTGTGTAAACTCCAGGCTCATAGGGCTGACCACAGTCATGACCTTTACTGATGATTCCAGACTGAACCCACACTGAACACTGCTGACTGACCATCGGACCACCAGAGTCACCCTAAAGAGAGAGGGAGAGTCACTGTTTTTCTTTATTGCAGTAATCAACATCAAAACTTTAAATATGAATATATAAGGATCTAAAAGGAGGAAGTTAAAGGAAAAAAACTAAATAACAATAAGTACAATCAAGTCTAAATTCAAGTACATTTTAAATGGATAATTAACCCCCAAAATCAAATTTGATTAGATAAGTAGGCTACAATACAGTACATCTTATTTATGCCACTGTTTACTGATGCTTACAGAAAACATATGCTTATCAAGTTATATCATGTTTGCTTGCCTGAGTACACTTAACAGTTTTCTGTAGAATCTACTGTAACTTGCTGGCAATAGTTCACCAGTAACTTACTGTAAATCAATTACAGCAAAAATACTATTTTTAAATTTACAGCCCCATTTATCTTGCTGTATGCGTATTTACACAGTTGTATGTACACTATCGGTCAAGTTTAAGGTGCGTTCGTTTTTTAATTTTTTTATTTATTAAATGTAATTTTTAAAAAATATTTATTACAATTTTACTATCACTATTACCATTAACAATATTAATAACAATGATAATTAATATTAGAGTGATTTCTGAAGGATCAAATGACTATAGACTGGGGTAATGAAGCTGAAAATTCATCTTTAAAATCACTGGAATAAATTCATTCATTTATTCATTCATTTAATCTTTTTCTTTTCGAATTAGTCCCTTAAGTAATCCAGGGTCACCACAGTGCAATGAACCGCCAACTTATCCAGCACATATTTTGCATGTTTTCCAGCTGCAAACACACTCATTCACACACATACACTGCGGACAATTTAACCTTCCCAAACTGGAATAAATGATTCAATTAAATGACAAACTACTTTTAAACAGTTATTTTATAGTGTAAAACATTTTACAATTTTACAATTTGTACTGTATTTTTATGAAATAAATGCAGCCTTGGTGAGCAGGAGAAGCTTATTTTAAAACATTTAAAAATCCTACTGACTCCAAAATTTTGACCAGAAGTTTATATCTTGAACAAAATCTAAAATATACTTCACAATGCAACTTTAAAATACACTAACATACTGCATAACTGTCCTACAGTAAAATACAGTTTTAATTACACTCAAATACTGTGTGATTTACAAAAAAAGGTTAAGAGGGTAGGTCTTTGCTTTTACATTGATGATTCCCTGCATGTTTACAGTATTAAATGAATTTTTAAAGTTATTTTAAATATGCCTTTATGATTTTATAAAATTTAAATAATGCATTTACAAAATATTCTTGCAATTAGGTTACAATTTAAGATTTAAAATTACATCCCTGGAGTAACCTTTGAACTAACTCACATTCAGATTGGCAAATTAATTTTTGAGAGGATTAAAAATTAAATGTTGCCATGTGACACAAAGCATTGAATTGCAGTTCACAAATTTTTCTTGTTTTATTGGAATTTGTTATATTGATTTAATGACGCATATTCCTGATGTGCGCACAAGTTGTAACAATCTGATTGACTGTTGTACCTGGCAGGTGTCTTTTCCGCCCTGCAATAAACCAGCGCACATCATGTTGTCTGTAATGGTGGCACCAAGCAGATTATTACAATCTGAATTAATTACCACTGGAACCACAGTCTGCTGCAGAGTCCTGGGATGAGACAAATTCACTGGAAACACAAAAATGGCCATCAGTCTGTAGTGAGTGTGTAACAAAATGTCCTCAAACTCTTTTCTGTGTCCTAGGACATTTAATTCATTTGCCTCTAGGTAAATGACTAGGATAAATGGCAATAACTTGTGCTACAAACCAGTGTTTTTATGACAAAACAAAAATCAGTGGAAGTGAATGTAGAGTCTGGAAGTTCTTCTTGACTTACTATAAGGTGGATAGGTCATTTGTTTCTTTCCTGAAAATGATCCTTAAGAGATTTCACTGAAACATTGCTGAATGTAATACATAATGCATTGTGTGCTTTTATCAGTGCTAAAATTTGTGAATTGTGTAGCTTGATTAGTAGGGCATTGTCTAGTGGCAGCACAACAAATATGGGCTCGATCACAGATAAAACAGGCATTACTCATGCTTTAAATGGACTGTGAATTATGTACAAATATGTAAATATGTATTAGTTCTGTGAATCTGTAATAAGAAAAACAGCGAGGAAGGGTCTATATAATCCACACTAATTAAAGTCGAGATAAAATAAAAAAAAATATATATATATATCATTATAATTGAACAATATAAATATATATTTATAATAAGTTTAAAGTAAACATTAATTCATATTTTATTTATTTGAATTGCATTAATATTATGCTATTAACATTACATTAGCCTATTAACCTGTGAAAAGGCTGCCATCAAAATCAGGGAACAGCTTTTTTATTGGTTTGGGGCTTGTGACTATCTTTAACATGGACATCAGTGATTTAATGATTTGCCTTAATCTAAATAAGACAATAATATGAGACTGGTGTTTACATGAGTTGCTTTTTGAATGTTACATTCATGATTCCCAGTTACATGTTATATAGCACATAGATCAGTAACATCATTGTGTCACCAGCCTAATGTTTCCTCCACAGTTTGTGTCTGTGGTCCTTTAAGATAATCAAAAATCACTGTTTTCGTGGTAGACTCTTAATCAGAGTAGTGTCTTCATATTAAAATCAGAGTATTTTGACCATGTAAACATACTCACTGAAAGTGCCAGATAATGTCACAAGCTGTCAAAGACAATCCATTCCTCACCTTTAAGTTGATTCCAAGAGCCCTCACATTTCATAAGTTTGACGTGTTTCCCCATTACACGCAACTTTTGTAAAGCATCTGCTACATGTTGGTGTGTCAGAATCCTTGCTTGTAAAATATAGCCATAATTTAGAATGCTCAGTTTAAGCAAATTAGATGAGCGTGTTGATGAAGTGAGTCGCTCACCGCATGCGCCATACTGTGCGTTTTGCCTTCTATAAGCAACAAGAACAAATGTCTGACATTGCTTACATACGTATCCCTCAAAGCTGTTTTAAATTAAATATTTAGAAATGGTGTGACACAACGCGTACTTATGTTTGCCTTTGATGCACCCCTTGATGCTTAGAAGAGTTTGATTCTTAAGAGCGTCACACACCAGACGTGCACATTTGCATATTATTTAAAATGAAACTATTGACTTGGCACTTTATGGCTCGGCAGAAATATGAACAGTCATGAGTCGTGGCTGGGTGCTGCAGAAAGGCACTGACTGATGAATTCTAAAATGCATGGCGCTGTGCGTCACCGAGCAGTGCTTCTGGTGTGCGACCCGCTTTATGTCCTTGTCGCAGAACCAGTGGCACTGGAATTAGCCAGCGAAATTCATATGCTGATTCGGTCTGGTGCATACCAGTTCCAAAGGTACTGGTGCCACAATGGCATCGGGTTTCGGTACCCAACCTAGTAGTGATTTATATAAATGATGTATCTTCATTATATTGTAAAAAGTAATTTACCCTCATAATCTTAAATCAAATACCATGTAGCCCCCCCCCCTCTCAAAATGACTTTCTTTAGGTTCTGGTCACATGGAATGCTTTTAGGGTGGGGCTATCAGTCGATATGATTCCGTCTGTAAAATGTAGCTCCTCATTCTCTTCATCATCTCGCATCTGTAATCATTCTGCAACAGAAGTTGCTGACAGTGATTCTGATGGACAGTAATTCACCAAAGTGCAAACTGGCATTCAATATATGCCTCCATTTAGCTAACAACATCCATCTTACCACAATCCATTCGGTTACCAGAAGATAAAATTATGCATCACCCTAAATTTCTTCCCATTTCAAAAAATCGGGTGTATGACATGATCAGGGGAAAAGTACAATCTTAAAGTCTGCATGAACAAAAAGTCTTTTTTTTTTTTTGATACAGTTCCTAAAACATTATTAAAATTAGAAAACAGTGGGCATGGCTTTTTTCTACTGCAAGCTAATATCATGTATAAAGTAGGCATTTCATTCAGAAATATCATGATAATTATTTTGGGAGAGTTAATACTATATATCCCATCATGCCCTGCAGTCACACACCAGTTCCAGGTCACCTCTTGATTACGCACAGTCTAAGCTTGTCATGACTGATTACTTGCCCTATAAACACTCCACTGACACACACATCCTGGCTGAGTCTTGTTTCAACTGTAATAGGCTTTTCCTTTTTTATGTTGCCACCTGCCGTGACTTTTCACCTGTTTTCCGATTACTCTTTGGGTATTGACATGCTACCATCTGTTCCTATGTGAACCTGCCTGACTCTTCAAATAAGAAGAGTTAGAATTAGATTACAAGGGCAAGCTTTTTTTTATGACATGCACGGAAGAATTGTTCAACACAACTAATGTAAGCTAACAAAATCAATTAGGGCTGCAACAACGAATCAATTAAATCGATAAAAATCGATTACTAAAAGCGTTGGCAACAAATTTCATAATCAATTCGTTGTGTCGCGCGACACGGAGACGTTTGATTAAAAAAAGAACATTTTAGCGGAGCGGAGAAAACACGGCTCCTTTCTGTCTCTCGCACGAGTTCAGCGCCTCAAAGACAGGGATGATGTGGAAGAATCACTACAGAATCCTACTTTTGTTCCATTTTAAAGTGAGAACCGTAAAGTTCTTTGTGTTTGTGTCTGACGCTGAGCCAGAGAAAGACAGCGGGGTTAAGTTGGTTTTGTTTTCGGTATTCCTGACACATTCAGTGATCAACGGCATTAACTCAAAAAAACCTCTAACCCTAAAAAGATCTAAACTGTGTTTCCTACAAAAAGACAAAGCAGGTTATGTTTCACACAGGGCCGGCCCGTGGCATAGGCAGTATAGGTAAATGCTAAGGGCGCTGTACATCCAGGGGGCGCCAGAAATGAGCGGGGTAAGTTGGTTTTGTTTTCAATATTCCTGACACACATTCAGTGATAGATGGCAATAACTCAAAAACCTCTTACCCTAAAAAGATCTAAAGTGTGTTTCCTACAAAAAGACAAAGCTGGTTATGTTTCACAGCTGTCTTTTTCTTTTTTTCACTCGATATTATGAGCACTGTTCCGTTTAAATAGTTGCAATATGCGCTGAGGCAGAGAGCGCTCGTGCTGAGCACAGCTCTCAGTAAGGGACCGTCGGAAAAGTGCTTCTTTTTTTGTTTTTTGTTTTCGAAAACAAAACCAACTTAACTCCGCTGAAAGACGTGACATATTATCACAATTATGCAGCGTTTTAACCGCCTAATACTTCATTTATGTTTTAGATATGTAACTACACACAAGTAGTAGTAAAACAATACATTTAGAGTTTGTAAAACACACAAGAAAGTCTTAACATTCAAATATAATTTGCCGGTGTGTTTTATTCATATCAGATACACATTACACATAGTAAAAGTAAATATAAAGTTGAATCTACGCTTCTCTGAGTTTACCAGCCATTTACTTGCATGTATTTTGGGAGTAACTTATGAATGTACCTGCTGAATCCTGCGTGTTCTCGCTCTTTATGAATGAGGCAGCAGCGGCAAATAAACATGGAAACATCCATCTCACGTTATAAATGACGATCACTTACACATTTATGTGAACTGGAATATAAGGTAGTTGATGACATGATGAGCAAACGTGAATATGTTGAATTAAAACAGAAAAAATAAAATAAAAGGGATACATCTGTCATACAGCGCTGTTGTGTGCGGTGTGTCACGTGACAAACATGATGCATCGCCACAGAAACATTAAGGTTGAATGTTCTGAAAAAAACTGACTCCTGGGGCCAGATAGAATCTTTTAAACTCGGCAGTGAAAAGGTTAATAACAGCAGTAAAGCATCGGTGGTAGAGTTACTCTAAAGAGACTAAAGACACATTTTTATTCACTCGCCTTTTTTGGATCCTTAATTTTTCATCTGTTGTCATGTATAGCTGCACTGCAGAAAACGTTTCTTGCTTAGTTATTTTGTCTCGTTTCCAGTTCAAATATCTAAAAAAATCTTACATCAAGACCAGACAAAAAAAATGGCATGAGAAAATGAAGTGATGCTGAAAACTTCTGTTTGAAATTGTATCTTATTAAGATTTTTTACCCCATTGGCAAATAATTTAGCTTGTTTTAAGCAAACAATCACTTAATTTTGAGATTAAGAGATTTCTTATGCTATTTCATGTGTCTAGTATGTATCTTTATTTAAAAACATTTAGATATTTGGATTAAAAAACAGGACAAAACTAGTTAGTTTTTTATATTATTATTATTATTATAACAGTTCAGAGATGAGCTTTTTTGAATAAAGGGTTGGAAACTAATGCTTTTCTTGTTTTGCTTTTTTATCCAAATAATTGATTAATCGAAAAAATAACCGCCAGATTAATCGATTATTTAAATAATCGTTTGTTGCAGCCCTAAAATCCATATGGTTAGTTTCAATTTCAAGTGTACTTTAACTTCCATTTCATGTTGACTTTAAATGGACAGTACCTGCATTTTGAATGCTTATGCTGATTATACATATCTGTCATTATTTTTACATCTACTAGAGGGCGCTTTATCTTAAAATGTAACTAGGTTATTTGGTGTGATACTCTACCTCCAGCTGCTGTTTGTCCCCAGCCTGTGATCCAGCTGCTGGTGCCTGAAGGAAAGCTGCTGTTTTCTGCTGCTAAACACACAGGTCTAATATATTTGTTAAAGCTGACTGAAGCGGACAGATGCAGGAGAGCAATATCATTGTTGTAGTAATCGCTGCTGTAGGAAGGGTGAATGAAGAGCTCACTTATTGTTCTGTTGACTTCATGGTCATGAACTCCCTGTTGTGTCCTTCTTCCCAAGTACACAAGCACACTCGACGTGATGACACTGAATACGGACCATGAAGAACACAATGAATTACAAGTGGCTAATGTTTAGTGAGGAATGTGTGTTTATGCAGTTCTGACCTGGAGAAACAGTGAGCAGCCGAAAGCACCCATTCACTGCTGATCAGGGAACCGCCGCAAAAATGACCATTATATCTGGGGCTGTGAAGACTAACTGTCCATGGCCACGCCTCCTTAGGTGCATCCTCCCCGCCCACAATACGAGCGTTTAAATGCCGACGTCCACAAACTGAAAGAGAGACATTTATGTTTTCAATTGGTGTTTTAAATTATAATTTTCTCAGCTTTCGACTACTTAAATGATTTCTTTGAGACTCTGTATGTACAGTACTGGCTTCTTCTTTTTCATCAAACTAT